TTTTCTCAACTTGTGATGGTGACAATTTTGTGGCGCGCGACATTTCCGAACACTTTTTTTACTGTTTCTCTGTAGGTTACGCTGAAGTACCGTTATCACTGTTATCTGTGGCTAGATGAGGCTCACTCTATTGGAGCTGTTGGCCCTACTGGTCGTGGTGTGACGGAACTCCTCGGCGTTGGTGAGCTATGATAATCATAGGAAGTAGCTTTGGTGATTGCTAGTCAGATACCAAGCATGTTGATATGATGATGGGAACCTTCACGAAGTCCTTTGGTTCGAACGGTGGTTATGTCGCGGGTGATAAAACTCTAATAGATGTAAGTCTGGCTCGACACCAGCCCGACCGCAGTACGGGTCTGTTTTGTAGTACCTGCGTGCTACTTCCACCGGTTATCTTCATGCATCGGCTATGACACCAATGGTTACATCACAGATTATTGCAGCTTTCGAGGTCATGAGGACCCCTAGGGGCGAGGAGAAGGTAGGGCCATGCTGCTGAGGAGTTGAGTCCCACTGTGGTGTCGCTTTGGCAGATTCATGCTATTCGTGAGAACTCTAACTACCTCCGTAGTGAATTACGGAAGTTGAAGCTCACTGTCATTGGCGACATCGACTCTCCGGTTATCTGTGTCCTCTTGTGCGTGCCAGAGACTGTCCCCACTTTCTTCCGAGCAGCACTGAAGCGTAACCTAGCCTGCGTTGTGGTAAGTTATCTCTAGTCTGGGAGCTTGAAATCATGAGTTCTGGTTCTTAGGTTGGATATCCAGCTGTCCCTGTGCTCCTCTCGCGAGCTCGTTTCTGTGTGAGCGCCAGCCACACGCGTGAGCAGATTGACTACACTATATCGATGATGAAGGAGGTGGCCAAGGAGACTGGTGAGACTATCTCCTTTGAGTGTGTGTTGTGGAAAGTGTGGTAAAATTTGCACATGGTCAACCACGTGTGTTGGCGAGAATATGGAAATTCTGAGGAAATTTCGCAAATTTCTTGTTAATTTCTGTTTATTCTCGCAATTCGTATGTAAACTCCTATAGTTAGTGAGGAAGCTGTGAAGCTGAGCTGAGGAGAGCGAATATATTTTGTATATGGCAGGTATTTGCTATAATAACTCCGTACCGGAAGAAGAGGCCATTTCGTATCGTCATTGGTTGTCCCATGCTCCTTTGGAAACTGTGGAGTTGCCGCATTTGTCTGATTACTGGAAACCCGACGAGTTGGTCCCCAATTGCAAGTTTGAAGTTCCGCATAACGGGCTTATATTCTCATCCGAGGACACGAGTAAGTGTTGGAGCATATAACACTGGAGTTTCATTCGTTTATCGTGAAGTGGCGTAATACTTTGTGAAAAAGCGCGATATTCGCGCTATGCAGTAGTCGTGGAATATAGTTCCTACTAGTGTTTTCATATCCCTAGGGTGAAACTCCAGTGTGTGTTACATTGCCAGGATGATCGACTCAGGTACGGTCTCGAGCACTCCAGTTGAAGGATCCGACCGGGATGTGCCCCTCCAAGAGTTCGCCGTATTCGATCCTCTATCACTCCTGCATGATCCTGCTAAGGCTGTCAGCGAGCCTGCTTTGGAAGTGATCGAGGAGCGAGGAGTGGGGGCATGCGGGCCTCGAGGCTTCTACGGTGAGCTACAATGACGTATTTATACCGGGGATGAAAGCTGCTGTTCTTCAGGCACTACTTTGGAGCACCTTGAACTGGAGAAAACTATCAAGGATTTCCTAGGAACCGAGGCGGCGATTCTGTACAGTCATCATGCTCTCACCGCATCCAGTGCGGTGGGTCAATGAGAGTACTTCAAGGCCTCTTGTGAGGTTCTCTTGTATGGTAGGCTCAAGCGTTCATCAAGAAGAACGACTTTGTTATAATTCACAAATACGCCACTTATGGTATCCGCACTGGGGTTAAATTGTCGAGATGCCAGAATGTCACTTGGTGGTCTGGTGACGTCGATGAGCTCTTCGACCTTGTCGAGAGTAAAATGCGTGAGGTGAAGCTATCAAGTCACGTCTCTCGTGTGTGGGTCGTCATGGATGCCCAATTCGGTATCGATCTCAGAAAGGTGAGGTTTGTACAGCACTTCGAAGGTTGAAGTTGGTCCCGCTCAGGTCGTTGATATCAAAGACAACTTTGGTGCTTATCTTCTCCTTGATGATACTTATGGGATCGGCACTGTCGGTGCTACTGGTCGTGGCTATTGTGAGTATTATGGAGTAAGCACGGACCGATCTAGTTGCTGGTCTCGTATTGGTTCTCAATGTTAGGTCCGTTGTTCTTCTGTGGACATCTTGGTCGGCTCACTAGAGCAGACCTTTGCATCTCAAGGAGGGTTCTGTGTTGGGAAGCAAACTATGATCGACCACCAGACACTATACGGCAGTGGTTACTGCTTCAGTGCTAGTTCCCCTCCTGGCTCGTGTAAGGTGGCCACGGAAGCTATCAAACGAGTTGAGGGCAGCGAGCGGTTGGCTCGTGTCCAGGCCAATACGCGTAGACTGCGAAGAGACTTGGAGAACATCGGTGCTGATATCATTACAGATGCTCAGTCCTTCGCGCAAGTAGTGAGAGTGGCTGACGCACAGAGGGTTGCCCTTGCTATGCAAGAGCGAGGCTTCGTAGTGCAGCCGTTATTGACCTCCCCTCTTGAAAATGATGGTTTGGCCTCTGAGAAAAACACTCTTGTGAGGATCTGCGTTGGTGCTCACCATAGTCCTCAGGCTATCGATCAATGCGTTGATAGTCTTAGGGAAGTTACTATCGGTGAATACTGATAGCAGCAGTATCACATTTCACCCTGGTTCGTTTCAGTGCAGCTCGAGGAGCTTTCACTGTATATTACAGTTCTCTGTTGCCACTACTATTACTTTACACTCGACCAACTTTCGTCGTGACTGACATCAATTTTAGATGCGTCTATACATTTCAACTGTTCCTTGTTGTTGTCATTGGTTGTAAGCCGACCTGGTGAGGGTCTCATTTATCCCTCACCGTGGTTTCGTCTTCGTTCCTTAAGTAAGATGTCTCAGAGGCTTATAACAACGGCACTGGCCGAGACCTCAGATATGCATTGGTCGAAAAAAGCGGTGTTGCGTTTTCAGTCCGTCAAATCGGTTTGACCAGTTGCAGTGCTTGTAGACGTACAAGCCTCTACTGGGGTGTAGTGAATCAGCACCAGTGCCGTCTTGATGGACGTCTCCTCTGGTCGGTCTTATGATGGTGCTGAAGGTCAACTGTTATGGCCCTGTATAGAGGGTGTCAACTCAGATATATGCAGCAGCAGGCCATAGAGAGTCCCTGAAAATTTCACCGAAGAGAGAAAGCATTCCCCATTCAGAAACGTAGTATTCTAGTTACGAAGTAGTGTTACTTTAGTGTTACAAACCACTGGTAATATTCGTTGTAGTTATACTGAGTGATGTATTCATAGTATCATTATTTCAAAATGGCAGCTTTCCATAACGGAAATTATCGTCGTTTTTGTGGCCGAGAGTATGAGAAGCTCCACTGTGTTGCAGCGGAGCTCAGCAGAGGTTTACGGTATAGTCACCAATGATGACTATTGTAAGCCCCTGCTGAGCTCCTCTTCCGAGCTGATGATGACTCATCATCAGCTCGGTTGCCGTCTGATGAGGAAGATCTGTATCAGTTGTCATTCTCTGGTTGCAAGTTACCGCTCGGAAATCTAGCATGAGTTTAGTGTGTCAATATTGCAATGGTACGATGGTTCACCAGTTACCTGTTTACTAAGGTCGTATGTCATCTTCTGACTACAGTCCTCAACTGACTTTGGTGCCCTTTGGAAGTAGCTCGGGTATCAACGATCGGCCGCCACCACCTCAAGAGTCACCACGGACGGGAGAGCCTCGCTTCTCCCCGGTCCAGAGGTGCTATCAAGTCTGTCAGCAGTGGGGGAGTATGCTAGTAGTTATGTTGAGTAGATGTCTCGCTTGGGATAACGACGGCTCCTGGTTAACTATGTGTGTCGGTGACAATGTGAAAAATATGAGGAAACTTCCGGAAATCCTTGTTGGTTTCTGAACCCTTTTTACCGAGTAAATTCCTGAGCTCAGCTGAGGAAAGCGAACATATATTCCTCAAACACTGTATGGGAAACTCCTGAGCTCAGCTGAGGAAAACGAACATATATTCCTCTAACGCTGTATAGGAGACTCTCGAGCTCCGCTGAGGAAAGCGAACATATATTCCTCCAACACTGTATGGGAAACACCCGAGCTCAGCTGAGGAAAGCGAACATATATTCCTCCAACACTGTATGGGAAACTCCTGAGCTCAGCTGATGAAAGCGAACATATATTCCTCTAACACTGTATAGGAGACTCTCGAGCTCAGCTGAGGAAAGCGAATATATATTCCTCTATCACTGTATGGGAAACTCCCGAGCTCAGCTGAGGAAAGCGAACATATATTCCTTCAACACTGGTTCAGGCCAATGTCGACTACCTCTACCATAGTCCCTTCGTGCTGTGTGTCTTCGACTAGCGCCACCGCCACAGTAGCATTCGATAGCAGATCCCCTAGTCCTGCAGTTAGCGATATAGGACCGGTAAGTCACGTACTCCTTGGTGGTCGACAGGGCCACATACGTTGGTAGTTTCCAAGGGTGTGCTCGCCACCCTTTGCCGATGAGAGACTACTGGCTGCTATTACTAGCAACAGCAAGATGGGCAGCAGAGTTACTACCATAACTCCTTCAACTGTGGGCACATCGTCATCATCATCATCAACTCAACAAAGAACAGGTTATGTCGCCTCTCCGGAGGTTAACAGGTGAGGTTTGTTGCGAACATAAATAACAAAATAGACACAATTTCATGTGTGTCAGGCACAGAGCGTTGGTGTTAGAGACCATTGGCCTCATGCTGGATAAGGGCGTTATCGATAAGGAGGACAGCGCCAGAGTGGTGCTCCTCGCAACGCGTGGTAAGGACCTCATCCAGTGGTATGTGCTACCTCTTCTCAGGAGCATCTCATGTGTCGACTCTTTTCGACCTGATATCGAGTCGTTCCACCCTGGCTGCAAAAGCCGAATTTGTGAAGATGTATTTATCAGCCATCGCAGAGGACGGCAAAAAAGTGAACTTACATCCCTTCATAGTATTTTCATTGTTACTCCAGAATGAAGCTCTCAATTCGTCCCACAGTGACTCCCTTGCCGGGCCGCCTTATCCAGGTCACCGACCTATCGTAGTGCTCGCTGCATTGTCGTAACGCAGGTGTATGCCCGATGGTGCCGTATGGACCGACTCATAACTGCTATCATATGGGGACGTGGGACCACGGCTATTGCATGCCAATCCATCCAGGATTTCCGAGCCCACATATGGTCCACCATCATCATCACCAGCAGCAGCAAATGATACCGCAATCCAACCAAATTCCTGTTTTCCACAGAGGAACTCCTGTAAGGCACCACTACAGTGTTGACTTACATACCATTGATTTTGCTCAGCCCGGCCTCCAATGCTGTCCCTCTGCCTCGTCTCAAGCCGGGAGTGGTAAAGATAACGATAGTATATCACCACTCCAGGGTGTTCATTCGCCCTTGGGAAGTGAATCGGATGACAGTCGAAAGTAGGTCTACTTGTGTCTTCGCTTTTCACGGCGCGTTTAGGCATGCGTGCTACTGTCCGGCACCGATACCTTATCCAGGACCGTATCCGTATCGGTTCCAAGCCCAGCAGCAGCAGCACTTTGGGGCTCGTAGCATTAGTAATTCGTACGAGTAAGTCATGGGAGCCTTAGGGTGTCTTATCCGTTTTTCGTCTTATTGGGATATGGATGGTATCAGTGTTGGAGTAGGAATATATGTTCGCTATCCTCAGCTGAGCTCAGGGAGTTTTTTCACTTATTTGAAGAGGTTTGTATACGCACTAGGGAAAAAGTGTTGAGAAACCGACAAAAAACAAAAAAAGCTGAAATTGAGTTGACCATGTGCATATTTCCCCACACTACATGGTATCATACTTCTCGGTGACGTAGATTCTACCCATCTCCAACTCCTCCGCTCGTGAGCTTGCCGAGTCCTCGAGGTAGATGGGCACTCCAATATTGGCCACAGCTACACTGCCGATTTGTAGGCGTCTCCCCGTCACCGACACCCCCACCGGTTGTCGTTCCTCAATTCACCCAGCGGAATGCCGCTGGAGCCCTCAATGTTACGGCTCCCGGGTTGAGTAATTCAGCAGGGACACTATCGTAAATGAAATGAAACGTGAATTAAAAGCAGCAATGCCTGTGTCTGCATCTAGCTGTTGAGTTGATGAGGAACTAGAGAAAGGCACTTTATATGGGCCATTGTTTATACTACGGACTGATCTGATAGTCTGCTTAGCATTATATCGTCCCCTGGGAATGCTATCTCCTGCACACGTGGGAGCTCTGCGGTACTCGTTGCTTGAGAGACTTCGGAAGCACTCATCACATGTCGGACTGACACGACATCTGATGTGTGACATCGTGTCTTACATCCCTAAGCCTGTACTCACTCTGGATTGCTGCACCGAAGAGATTGTTCTCAACATTGGGGGAATGCCAAACTTCATCTTCACCAATGATGGTGTCGTCTTTGGTATATTCCAGTGCGGATCGTCTGTGGTCCTCCAACCGATATTTCCCTCAGGGAGAGGGATCACGCTAATGCCAGAATTATCATTTTTCCCCAACGTGACACCGAACACCAAAACACTGTTCTACTATGCTGCTCATACCAGGCATCTCTACATCCTCAGACCTGCCCACTTCCCATCACCGGTGTATTTCCTGTTTGACTATAATGTCGAGGCGAACGAAGTGAGAGCCTTTGGTAAAATTCCCGAGGTTTCTTCTGTCGAAACTTTCCCAACTCATATGGTGGTCATAGAGGATGAAGTCTTTGTGGCTGTGAGCCGGTCAGGCCGATCCGAGATCTGGCATACGGTGTTAGGAGCGTCCCAGAAAGTTATCTTGATTTGGTCTGCGAAAACAAGTGGCGATCGTGGCGAAGTCCTCAGCCTGGTCCCTGGTTTCGCATCACCTCAGACTACTGCCTTGAGCGTTGTCATCCTCGACGCATCCGTTACATACACATTTGCATTGGAGAGGGTTAGAACGACATCCCCGACTGTGTTCAAATCGACAAAGCGAAGACCCCTGGCCAATGGAGCCACGTGTTCGGTGGATTCTTTAATCGTTGGCTCGAACACTTTTCGCCAAACTAAAAAGAGTGGTCAGTATTTCCTCATTAGTATTCAGCCGGAGTTCGTGTCCGATGACTTTTGCTTGCCGAATCCGTCATATGCCACTTGTCCGGCGGCATGCGATCGTGCTGGGAATATCTACTTTGTTGTTGAACGGTCCTCTAGAAGTGGCAATCAGCAAGCGCCGCTATCCATCGGCTTTACTGACGAACCTCCGGTATGCAACCCATGGTTGAGGGGGAACGGTCGGTATCTACAGAATGGTGCAGATGGGAGTGCCACTGGAAGCCGACCGGGGTCATCTACTCGATGGCAAAAGACTGTGCGTATGTCTGACAAGCGGCCGGTATATACTTTAGGGCAGAAGCTCGCAACTACCACTGGTAACGGACCGGGACCAACTCCGTGGCGTAGACGTGCAACTACCACTGGCAACGGACCGGGACCAACTACATGGCGTAGACCTGCAACTACCACTGGCAACGGACCGGGGCCAACGCCATCCCCTAGGCCTGCAACTACCACTGGCAACGGACCGGGACCAACTACATGGCGTAGACCTGTGACTACCACTGGCAACGGACCGGGACCAACTCCGTGGCGTAGGCCTGGGACTACCACTGGCAACGGACCGGGACCAACTACATGGCGAAGAACTGGAGGTACCTCTGAGAAGCGACCGGTATATCCACCATGGCTTGGGCCTGGTAAAACTCCTCAGCAACCTCCTGTCGTCGACCCTCAAAGTCGCCCCCAGGCATCATATTCCGAATCGGAACGTCGAGTGGTATGCCACTACTACCTAGTACGAGCATCTCCTTATTTACACTTATGAGGGGATCGTTCTTCCTCCAAGTACAGATGCTGCAATCATCATCGTTTTTAGCATTTCTAGATAGGTGTTAGCTGTCGTTAGGTTTGTGTAGTCTCATGATTTCTGCTCATGTCTCTGTCGAGTTGATGACGCTCTAACTCGACTGATCTTTCCGAGGCTGATAACTTTCTTCGATCGGCCTTTCAGTCTGCCCCTAGTCGATGCCTGTTTTTCATTTCTATCCTTGACGAGAGATGATCCTCTAAATGGCTGCAGTTATTGTTGATCCTCCAATGCTTCAACGGTTCCTATGGGGCATGCGAGCGCGTATGGGTGCGACTGCATTTACGGGTCAGTTAATTCACCCCATACTCTATGGAAGTGGCCTCATTGAGGGACGTTGACCTCGCCTCGTCTTAGGTGCGGCAGCACTAGGCCTGGGCGTGCTGTTTCTACCAGTTGGAGTTTTGAAGGAACGAGACAGTGGGCCCTCCAACTCTGTGAAAGAGTCCATCTGCTATGCCCTGCCGATGCTCCCCGCTTTCTACTTCCACCTCAACTACAGCCTCCATCCTGTTTGGGTAGGCTTGGCTCTACTGAGAGGCTCTGCTTATTATCTGCTTCAGTCTCTGCCAATACTCTACCTCGCCGGATGGGTCGGCATGATGAGTGGTCAAGCGCTGGTCGTGAGCGATTCAACAATGAGAAACGCTGAGAAGAGTTCATAGAATGTTCCAATAGTCGTTTCTAATTTCAATGTTGTATTTGTTATTGCCCATTGGGCTCTCTTAAGACGAGTAGGAGTTGTGCGGAAACAACACATGAATATCTGATCTCAAGTCTGTGGAGGAGGCGAGATGGTCCGTTCACTCTTGACAGCGACCTAATGGTGATGCTTTGCCTCATAGAGCATCACAACCACTTGCCACGTACGGCTCCTCAGTATACTATTGATGACCATGATCCGGCCCGACAGTCGGCATGATCAGAGCCCTTCTAGGGAATCAGCCGTCGTCGTCGATGATGATGTCGTGAGTTACCCAACACGCAGTTCCCAAGTGTATACTCCTGACTTAGCCCTGCACTCACTGTGGCCTCACATGTTGGTGTGATGGTGATGAAATACTGCTATGCGATGGACCGGGATGTTCCAACGCATACCATCTGAGGTCCTCTAGCCTTCCTTGTGGTGAGCACAGGCTAGGCATATCAGATGCACTCGACCGATACTCCAGTCGGTGCCGACTACCACGTGGTACTGTCCATCGTGCACTTCGGAGCAGTCGAATACTATTTCGGTGACCGAGGAGGAACCAAGTCAGTGAACTAACATGGCGTCTTATCATACTATCATGATCAGGTGATGACATGGATGTAGCTTGTGAAGAATGCCACATTCGATGGTGGGACGAGGGGAACGAAATAATCCTCTGTGCGCGGTGGGTCTTCCCGTTATTGGTCATCTTGGGAGAGCATGGCACGCAGGTACGAATCCCACGGCTGTCGTGTGGGGTGTCATCTTAAATGCCATCGGCCGAAGCTCATTGAAATACCAAAGGGTGACTGGTATGGCCTCATGTCTTGTCTGTCACCACCGAATGAGTCTCTCATCGTAGGTTTTGCGCCGAACATGCTCCTGGTGGAGGAGCTCGGCCAAATACGGAGCGAACAGTCACCGTCCATCTGCCCCCAGGGGCAAAAGGGACGTGTTTGAAACCCAGTCGGGCGTGGTTAAAAGGCCATTGTGGAGATGCAGGGCAACCCATCTGGTGAAATCAACAGAAACCTGTGGAGCAATATCTGCTACAGGGATGCTGGTTTCATGAACGAGTGCACCATATGTGGTCAGTGGTTCTCGCGAGGTGGCTACCTCGAGCATGCGAAGTGTGACACTCCCATAAAGCCAACTGATGGTATGATGAGCTGTTAAGTTCTCGAGACGAGGTTGTGTCTTAGGCAACCGCTTGGCGAACGGTGAGATGACGAATTCACTCGTTGAGTGGGAACCAGGATACCCCGGGTACCCTGGTAAGTCACAGAAGTTGCCAATGAGTGTTAGGGAAGCCTCGTTCATAGGAATTGCGAAGCATGCTTTCCTTCGTATCAACACCAGCCTGTGTCGCCCGCTGCGTAGCATGTCCCCATGTGAGGCCAGGTCGATGCTGCGGCAGCATGGTAAGAATAGGCAGTTTCACCGTTACACTTTCCACAAAGGGTTTTGCTGCTGCCCTCGTACTGGTGGGCGTTGCTTGTGTAGGTTTCTGGTTCAACTCGCAGATTTTCCGAGGACGCCTCGGCCCGTTGCTCGCTCTGGCAAAGCGTAAAGAAGCTCTCCTCGAGAGAGAGAACGTGAACATGTACCATTACGATTACTATGCTGGTCAGTGTGTCCCTTTGGTCATGTCGGTGGGAATATTCTTTGGTCATGCAGATGGTCTCACTCGGCCGTCTGATGTGATCGATGCCGATGGTGTTGACTATCGCGAGTATTTCGACACCCTTAGAGCTCACGTTACGTTCCTGGTAAAGGAAATGTTCCCAGAATATTCTGTTACCTACCAAGAAAGCCACGATAAGGTGAACTGCTGCTGTTCGCAGCACGAATGAGAGACTATCGTTTCAGGTGCGTTTCTTCAACGGGAGCTACCACACGCCTCTCCATGCGGATCATACTCTCCAGCATAGACTGGTTGGCTATGATACAGCAGACTGCACCTTGTTAACGGTCTGGGTGGCTTTATCGAAGATCAGGAATGGTCAGTCTGTGCCCAAATTGTGAACTTCGATTAGGGCGCACAGTGTGGGAAAATATGCACGTGGTCAACCACATATCTCGGTGACAAAATTCTGAGGGAATTTCGGGAAATTCTTATCGGTTTCCGTACACCTCTACCCCAACTCGTATATGAGCTCCTATGATTAGTGAGGAAACTTCTCAACTCAGCTAAGGAAAGCGACGATTTATTTCAATACTGAGGGCGCATTTGTGACATTCTCTGTTTTCTGACAGCTCGTGACGCACTATGCTTTTTCTTGCCGGACAGTGAGTCCGCGTGTTTGCAAGAAGGAACGATTGCTTGCATGGTCAACGTCGAGCCCGGAGCATGCGCTATGTTCCTCGAGACAACTCCCCACTTCTCTCCGAGAGAGGTGCCACTCCCCCCCCCCCCCTGGTTGTTAACGAATAGCATTTCCTCAGCAATGCTGGCGGAAGAATCCGAAGGGGTTCCGCGCATCAGTGGACATGCGTTTTGTCATCTCGCCGGCAACTAAACCCATATGTATCGGCTCTGAATCGAAGCATGAGTTATCATTGGAATCCTCAACAATACAGGTGGGTCCAACAGTGTTCAACGGGTGTTCAGTAATCCTAAGCATGCAGGACTGCCCTCTATGTATGGTGTCTCGATCTCGGCCTCCACGATGGACGACTCCTCTCGAGACTTGGTTATTTCATGATGAGAAGGAGCCGAACTTTGGTATATTAACTTGTAAACGAAGGAAAAAAATCCAATAACCCCGGTTCCATTTCCAACCCACATGCAACTGAAGCTTTCTTGATGAAACTTTTGTGTTAGAAGAGTGTTCACAACACATGCCTCTTTCGCTACGTTAACGTATGTCGGGTTTCGAGCTTAACGTGAATCTACATAAGGTCATCGAAACATTCAAATGTCTATTAAATGGTCATCACTCATGGCCAGTCTCATGTGAAAATCTAACTCAACTGCGGAAGTATTCAGCGCCTTGGTATTCAGATGGTTGTAAACTGCAGTCAAGCAATTAGGTAGCTCGTGTAACTATACCGTGGGCATTCTTTTCTGCTAATTGCTTTCTACCTTGGATGCTCACGTATGGCCATGCACGAACTTTCTTATGTGAGAGTTGAATCCCCTATGAATCGCTGATTCTAATCGGAAACTCATTGAACCTCGTTAACTCGAATCGCATGTATTGAACTCGAATGGATCAGACACCAGCGGTTACAGTCGAGTACAGTCCTCGCAGCACATTCACATGTTCTGCCTCGGGCCTATGGAGCAGCTGATCATCTCGCGAGCACTCCAAGCCGTAGTCCAGAAGGTATCTGAAGGGACATGCCAAAGTCCGATGGTTAGAGGGGACCAGTACAGATGAAAATGTCCTCTCGAAAGCTCTAATGCAAGAAATTTGAAGAACTGTCAGAACACGAGACATTATCACCCTAGGACGTGTTTGACCAGAACCTTCTTCAGCTGGCAGGCCTTCACCACATGAATCAGCGACTCTTTGATCTCCTCGATATCAATGCGCATACCGCTGTGCTTCAACTGACACAGGTGGAATAACATCCACGGACACGGAGGTCTCGCCCGAATATAGTAATGGACGATTAATGACGAGTAAAAAAGTAACGGAAAGGCTCATTTTCATTTCTATTAAGACCTCTCCAGTTCGATCCCAGAAGAGCAACGGCTTCCCTATGACCGAGACCGCCAACCATAGTAGGAGGAAACGAGCCTCAGATGAGACTCCCACGGTCCCTAGAGGAGACGAGTCGGGGATGGGATACCTGAACCTATTGTTAAGGACGGTTTAGATTCAGGCTTCTACAGTATCAAAGGTGCCTGCTGCGGTAACGGAGAGAAGATACGCTCCTCCTGCTCACTAACATCAATTCCTACTGAGGCACTGACTGATGGTGAATACGAATGTATAAAATCACCTTCGGCATTCTTTCGAGACAAAGAGGCAGCTGACCCCACCGACAGGATGAGCCTGTTACGTGGACATATAGGCGACTCTAACAGTAAGGGATCACTCGTTAAGTGTATGGATGCACTCTGCTGTAGGGTTGATCTCTTTCTTATCCCCAGATGAACCCGAACGAGGGAGCCTCACGAGACTGATGATCTCTCTGTTAGCTAGTGGGAGGCCTGTATCAGGGCAGGTGACGGTAGACGAACAGGTGTCCAGTATGCTGACAAATATCCTGGGTGCGGACCATGGACAGGTTAACGTCACCTCCCAGAGCACATGAAGGAGCTACCGATACCGGTCACTCTGGAGTACTTCCTTCCACCACACACCGATATATTCTCCGGTATCGTACCTCAGTATCAGGCTCCGGTGAAATGTGGCGACATTCTAGCTGTTACCGACCTGTGCTTGTGGGCTCACACAAGGCCAGAGCAACCAAGACCTCAGGGTGCTCCATCGCATAAGCCTCCTCTACACCAGTACCCAAGCCTAAAGCATCACCGAAGGGCCTGAGGTACAAGTGTCACCCCAGCAGGAAATGCGACAAGTACTTGTTCGTGGTCAAGCCAAGAAGGGTCTTCCCCCTCAATTTATTATCATTTCTATCAGCACTGTTATAGGGTAGGTATTGAGCATGGCCCTCGTTGACAGTCAAAGAGATATCACTAGAGTGAGAATTCACAAGATGCTTCACATCTGTAGTCTCGAGAATGTCCACTTCCGCAAGGCCAACACTGCACGCCGTCCACCACTCCTCATCCAGCCATTCTTCCGATGGTGGACACTGGGGGACGATGTTCTCGTCGATGATGCGACGGGCAATACGAATATACGTCTGAGTAAAACCTTACAGCCTACTGACGGCACTGATAGGGCGATCTGGAGAGATCTCAATCAGCTATACTTTCAAGAGTCACTCAACCAGAAGTGGAATCTCCCCTGCCCGGTTCGTCATGAGTAGAAAAACAAATAACATTTGCCAAGGCTGAGATATCCCAGTGCATCCTCCTACATCTTTGGAGTTCAGCTCGACTAGCTCCCTGTACGACGAATCTTCATACTCACTGACCCCCTCCCTCTCTATATCATGCTCTATAGTTTCATCACCGGCCTCCGAGGGCTCGGGGGTTGCTTGTCTCAGAGGAGCGTATCTAAAGGGGGTGGGCTATCTGCCACGTTATGAGCAACTGATAGTGACCCCAAAGCTTGCGCAAAGTAATTCAGGAAGCAAATTAGCTTGTGGGCCTGGGTGGGGACACGACCGTTCGAGCGGGAGAAGAACCTTTTGAAGTTAGCTGAGACCATTCGAGGATCTGCCAGGGATGAGGTCACATCAACGACTCGCCTCGGGAGTCCTACGCGATGGGAGTAGACAGAGGAAGCTACAGCATAAGACGTACAGGCTGAGACGATTGGGGATGGTCACGCTTCCAGTACTGCCTGAGACATAGCCCTGAGGATAGAATTCAGCGAGAAACACCTTTGAGGAGCAGCATGGGACGGTTCTCTGGGAGAGTCTCTTGACCATCCAACACGTACCGAGACATGGCTGGGAGGATGAAGTCGAAAAAGACGTCGTACAGAGTTGGAGAAATCTCTGAATAGTCAGGCGTAAGAGATATACCGAGAGAGCTCTCAAGACCAACCTTTGACTTGCTCGAAGATCGTGACAACATCAGCGAAGCTAGAGGGCACTTCAACTATTTGTGGAAGGATATTCTCGTCCTCACTGCCGGCACCTTACCACTGTGAGTGCCGGGGCAGATGTCATATCGGTGTACTACGTCTGCTTTTTCGTCGCTTCACTGCACTGCTGCTTGTGTTCATTGTCTCCACGTCTAGCGGGACACATCCACTGTAGTGAGCTAGGTGGGTGAGAAGCTGCTGGTATCTGTTACCATTGGCTTCAATCTCGAATACAATCTAGAGGACAAGCTCACTCCTCTGGCGTGCGTAGATCACCGCCTTTCTCATCACAGACCTACGAGACTTCTCATGTAAACAAGCAGCTTGACCGCATATACTTGAGAGAGCTCCTTCGTGATGAGCTGCCATGATCCAGAGTCATCGAAGGGTAGTGCCAGTATGTCGGTATCACGGTCCGCTGCCGGCGGCATTACACCAGAGTTGTGATAGAGTACACTGAGCGACTCGTTGATAAGCCTACTGCCATTCTATGGTCTCTATTGATGCTATACTGTTACAAGGTATGTTTTACCACCTTTCACCTCGAGGCGACAACGCTAACACTTAGTATGCTTGGAAGGAATAAATTTCACAGTAGGGGCAGATATGTCACTCCAAAATATACCTTGTTGCAACTGATTTCTGCGGGCGGGGCAGATATGCCACTCCAAAATATACCTTGTTGCAACCGATTTCTGCAGGCGGGGCAGATATGCCACTCCAAAATATACCTTGTTGCAACCGATTTCTGCAGGCGGGGCAGATATGCCACTCCAAAATATACCTTGTTGCAACCGATTTCTGCAGGCGGGGCAGATATGCCACTCCAAAATCTACCTTGTTGCAACCGATTTCTGCAGGCGGGGCGGATATGCCACTCCAAAATATACCTTGTTGCAACCGATTTCTGCAGGCGGGGCAGATATGCCACTCCAAAATACACCTTGTTGCAACCGATTTCTGCAGGCGGGGCAGATATGCCACTTCAAAATCTACCTTGTTGCAACCGATTTCTGCAGGCGGGGCAGATATGCCACTCCAAAATATACCTTGTTGCAACCGATTTCTGCAGGCGGGGTAGATATGCCACTCCAAAATACACCTTGTTGCAACCGAATTCTGCAGGCGGGGCAGATATGCCACTCCGGGATATGTCTTGGAACAATCAAGTTCTATAGGTGGGGCAGCTATACCACTCCGGCGTATGCCTTGTTACAAGCGGGGCAGATATGCCACTCAAGGATATGCTTTGTTACAATCGATTCCTACAATCGGCGCAGATATGCCACTCAAGGATATGCCTTTTTACAATCGATTCCTACAATCGTAGCAGATATGCCACTCGAGGTTATGCCTTGTTACAATCGGTTCCTACAATCGGGGCAGCTATGCCATAGCAAGAAATGCCTTGGTACCGCCGTACCATAAGATATGCTCTGGGGCAGTCGACACACACGCCATCGGATGGCGGCCATCCCGGGATATTTTCATGCGCAAGGCAGCTCTACTATTCCGCACGAATAAATTTGTCGACTTGAACTCCATAACGGGCCGAATTTGAAAACTATCAGGCTAATATCACAGCACGAAAAATGTTATATACTTCTAGTGGATAAACTGCATGGTGCAGCCTGCATCGCTGTATGGAGCGTGAGAAGACAACGTAGTGAGAGGCAAGCATCAAGATCAGATATCAACTGCTAGCTGCTCAGCAACTTTGATGTTCTCAACTGCAGCCTTGAATTCGAGAAAGGACAGTTTGCCATCCATATTCCTGTATGAGTGATGTATGGCGGAAAGAAAGGATACAGTAGTACTTATCGGTGTCTCTTATTGTGCGGTCTACCAACTGCTGGAGCTGCTCTTCCGTGAGATTCTCACCAACCATCATCTTCATCACCTGCCGACGGACGATCGTAATCTAGATAGCTGGTGGATAGACTCACTTGAAAAAGATCGCCATTACTGATGTATCCATCCTTATCCACGTCGTACACCTGAGAGCAAAAAGATGGTACTCTAGTATTTCTCCCATCCAGTGGGCCTCTAAACGAGAGAACTTTGGCTCGGCTCCCCTAGGAGTCCCACAGAAGGAGAGCCAAGTATTTCACAAAGCGGAAATCGTGGAGGTACGCTGCGCTCCACGATGAATACTGAGCGATGATGACGGGAAAAGGCAAAAAATTTTTGAACCTTCCAAGTAGCGGAAGCACCTCAAATGCAAACTTGAGCTTTTCTTCCTCATCGGAGCCGACCGCCACTCTAGCCAGGCCGACTAAGAACTCTATGAATGATACTGTACCTGAACCCGAGTCGTGTTACCCGATCAATTGAAAGGATGGTAGTCCGCAAGCTATTACCATTGCCATCCACGTCGAAGATACTAACAACTCGCTGTACTAAAGGGTTCTCTGAAATCTCCTTAACGCCTGCCGTACGGAACGTTGACAAACGTCTTCAACTGACCTTACCAAGTAGCTCTGATGGATCTAATTGGCCATTGCCATCCTTGTCCAAGGCTTGGAATCTGATAGATGGGGAATAGCGTGAAAAACTCAGACCACCTATAGTACCTGCTGTACAAACGCCGAATGTCCTGTTCAGTGAAACTAGCGATGGAGTGCATCTCGCTCTTACTGATGGACTGTGATCCTCCCATTTTGATAGGATTATAATAAAAACAACAACCCTGAAATATTTTGTGAGGATATGTACTAAGTGCGATAGATCATCGCGTGGTGAGGTCAGGAC